AATGTATTGTAGACAACTCAGAATGGAATTGCTGCTAAGAATATAAATTGAAAATCTCAAGATATCATTGTCCAAAGTTTGCATCCCTGCAACTGGTTGAATAGAAGGCCAGACAATGTTATTTCCACGATTTTCTTTTGAAGATAATAGCGTGTCACTTGCAGACGCGGATATTGTCAAACTAAAAGGTCTGCGTTTATTCAGTATAGATTTAAACGTAAAGTGACGATACTTGTGATTGCTAATTTTATACTTAACTCGTTCAGAAGTAAATGGCTGCATAAAACAATATTTTCTCAATGTGCCGGTTTTATTCACGCGGTCAGATCTAAGATCCACGTTTCTATCCTAAAAGCAGGCGGAAAAAATGAAGCAATTCGACTCTGTTCCGCTATATTTTTTCGTTGGGACTACAGTAAATAAAACGTAACGAGAAAATAAACAAAAATAAACAAGAATATCCCAGGGTTCAATGTAAAATTACAAAAGAACGATTGGAGGGGAATTCTCCAATTCCGGACGTCGGTGAACGCTGTGAGAAAACGAACAATATGCAGAATCGCCAGATTTCGTACATGTGTCTCTCTCAAACTATCTCTCCTCAATGCCGTAAGCTATCTCTTCTTCCTCTATCGCTCCCCATCCTCTCAAGACTGTGGGATACTCGATAGCATATCTGACAACATAGACAAGGCCCTCTCTCTCCATCCGTTTTTTTCTCATATATATTCGTGTTTGGTGACTTTAACGCCCATCACACCAAGTGGCTCGAGAATGCTACTACTGACCGGGCTGGCATTCAAACATTTAACTTTTCAATTTCTCAATCCCTCACGCAGATAGTCGACTTCCCCACGCGTTTTGCCCTTAAACCTGACAGGTAAGGCCTCTCTTCTCGATCTGTGTTTTACCTCCATCTCCGAATCTTGTAGCGCCACACAGCTCTGCCCCTTGGCAACTCCGATCACGCTGTGGTATCTGTCAACATTTCCTTCATATCCACCCTGCAAAGAACCTCCAATCACAAGAACCTCGTTAACTATCTTTTTTATCAACGAGCGGATTGGGACTCGTTCCGTGACTTCCTCCGCGATGTCTCCTGGGATACAAAATTTTTCGCTCCCTGTCCAAAAATGTGCTTCTGAGGTCTCATCCTGGGTTAAAACTGGAATCGACGCTTTCTTCCCCTCAAGGAAATTTAAGGTCAAGAAAAACTCCTCCCCTTGGTTCTCCGCTGCTTGCTCATCTGCCATTGCCTTAGGAATCTTTCATAATTTCACCGACATGTCGGACTGCAATAGACGTCTCTTTGCCTCTGCCCGTAACGAGTGTAAGCGTGTCCTCAACGAAGCTAAGTCAATATTTGCTGCTCGGATGAAGGAACGTATTGCATCTCGCAAATTTGGCTCCAAAAGATTATTGGCGTCTCTGCAAGAGTGTCCTGAACAATAGAAAACCCTCCATACCTCCTTTATTCAACCAGTTCGAGGTCTTGACCTCCTCTACCGACAAGGCTGAATGCTTTGCTCGGAAATTCTCATTTAATTCAACGCTCGACTCCACCGGTGTACCCATACAGGACTTCCCTCTTAGAACTGAGGCCTTACTGGTGGCTTACATAACCCCGTAATTGGTACTGGGCATTATCTCCAATTTAGACCCCAACAAGGCTAGTGGTGGAGATGGCATACCAGCCATTGTCCTGAAGAAATGCGCGCCTGAACTAGCACCCGCCCTCTCTAAACTGTATAATTACTGCCTCAAGGAATCCTGTTTTCCTGACTGCTGGAAGTCCTCATCCATTGTTCCTGTGTTTAAGAACTCTGGAGACCCCTCTGACCCTTCTAATTACCGTCCTATTAGTCTCCTACCCCTCTTCGGCAAAGTCTTAGAAGCCCTAATCAATGTCGAAGTGGTTAATCACCTTACATCTCATAATCTGCTCTCAGACAAGCAATATGGTTTCCGCTACGCCCGATCTACAGCTGATGTGCTTACGGTCATCACTGAAACCGTCTACCAAGCCCTTCAAAATAACGGTGAGGCTCGTGCCGTGGCCCTAGACATCTCCAAAGCATTTGATAGGGTTTGTCATGCCGGCCTTCTTCGCAAGCTCCAGGGGTTATGGTATTACTGGTCAATTGTTTGATCTAATACAATCATTCCTGTCAAACCGAGAATTGAAGGTCGTTCTCAACGGATTCTCCTCCAGTTCCTATCCCACGAACGCAGGTGTTCCCCAAGGCTCCATCCAATAAACTCTTTCCTTATTTTCATCAATGACCTTCCTCACGCCATAGATTCCCAAGTTGGCATCTACACAGACGACACTACAATTTACTCCTGCCTCAAAAACAAATCTAGTGTCGGTGACAAAACTAACCTGGCCGTGCGTCTTGAAATGGACCTCCAATCGGTTGTTAACTGGGGCAAGAATTGGCTGGTCAACTTTAACGCCACAAAAACTAAACTACTCTCCATTAACCACCATAGAGATCCTTCCCTGCCCTCCCATTAAAATGTCTGATAGTCAACTTCCTGAGAGCAATTCCCTGCGTCTGCTCGGTCTCACGCTGAGATGGAACAAATACATTGAGTTAATTGCTTCTTCCACCGCAAGGAAAGTTGGCTCTCTGTGCCGCGCCAGGAAATTTTTCTCCCCTGAATCGATACTTCAAATATACAAATCAACCATTCGCCCTTGCATGGAGTATTGCTGCCATATATGGTCTGGGGCTCCTTCTGTTTACCTCGGAGTTCTTGACAAGATCCAGAGACGGATATGTAATATAATTGGCCCTGATCTGGCGTCTCGTCTACAGTCACTCTCTCACAGACGCGCCGTCGCCTCTCTCTGTCTTTTCTACAAATACTTCCATGGTAATTGCTCCGATGAGCTGCTTTCACTGGTTCCCAGACTCCATGAATTCAAGCGCCCTACGAGGCTGGCATCCCGCTCCCACCCTTACACTGTAGAAACTTTTAAATGTAGCCGTCTCTTCTACTCCAATAGCTTCATACCTCGCACCTCTCGCCTGTGGAACACCCTTCCCAATTACTGTTTCCCTGAGAGCTATAATCTCCAACTATTCAAATGTAATGTCAATCGACATCTCCAGTTACCTTGATCTACCCACTATCCTTCTCCTCATCCTTTCTCCTATCACTCCTATCTGCTCTCGCTCCAAATCTTCCGCAACCCCCTGCATCCTAGTGGCTTCACGCCTTGCTTGGGGCGTAATGCTTAAAAAAAAAAAAAAAGATGCAGCATAACAGAAGATTACATGAGAACATATAATAAAAATACTTTATTTATAAAATATACAGTGTATTAAATTAAAGAAAACTAAATAGTAAAAGGGATGAGGGTACAATTGGTTGTTTAAACATATATCAATGCGACGAAATACTGACAAAAACAGTGACAACGGATTATAGAATATATATATAAACATGTAAAGTCTTACAAATTGTAGGGATCGATATTGATTGATTGTTATCAGAAATAAAGTTCGAAAGAAAAGATGCCCAATCAATTCTCCGAGCGAAAAAGGTGGAGTTGCTAACGTCCTGATATAAGTCCTTGATTAACGCCGTTCAATCTTTGCTGATGGCGAGAAGTATACGCAGATAAACCACAGGAGTATAGACGACTTGGGTTTGAGAATACCGTTCAGGATTCTTTCGTCGGTCATTCTTGGTGACGTCCGATTCCTCTGAAAGCAAACAGCTAAGTCTAGTTTTGGTGACGTCCGATTTCTCTGAAGGCAAACAACTAAGTGAAATTGTTATATCAAAACACAAAAAAAAAAAAACCGTTAGGGGTTAAGTCATTGTTGGCATATGAAGAATCAGTAGGCGTTATCCATTGAACCTTATAGATCACTTAAACTTATCATAAAAGCAGCGTTCGTCTGGCATGCGATCAGAAAAAAGACAGGAGGTGGGGGAAAGGAAGGTTCTCTTCAAGGACTTATTTTTAGTTTAACCGGGTACAAAAAAAATGTTCCATAATCTGCATATTCAAAGAAATGTGTCTATTTGACGACTATTATTCTCATATCTCGTCGCAAATATATAAATATATTAAAATATACTTATAAAATCTAAGGTGGGGTACAATTATTGGTCTAACGTAAGAACTCAAACCTTAGTTGGGATGAAAAATCACCGAATTAGTTCAGGTACGACAGTCATATTCGAAGACGATAATTGCGTAGATCGCCAACGTCCTGAAAGGACAGGGAACATGCGAAAAGATTAGAAGGATTCTTATTCCTCTGACGCAATCTTCCTTTAGCTGCGTTGGGTTCTCAGGTGCAGTCTTCTCATTTTTCTGCACATCATTCTGACGAGCATCTTCATCTTTGTTGTTTGAACTGTTTACACTAAATTTAACCAAATACAAGCCTCGAGAGTCCCCCAAGGTAGAGGGTTAGCGTCGACATTATAATAGTGAATGTGGTGAGATATGAATGGAGGAGTAAGCAGTAGAAATGGATGATCATGTCGATTGGCCCCTGATTTAAAGAGGTCAGGATACATGGGTCCAATGAAATACCGAAGTGGGGGTACGCTTCACAAAATAGATGTTCCTGGGTAAAAGCTTTCTGAATTGAACTTCCTACTTACATTTGGGACACGGGAGGAATAAGGATGATTCGACTTTTTGGAAGAAGTAGAATAAAGAGTCCTAGCCGTAAACGTCTGCGAGAAAATCGCAATAGAAAGAATACTTATATTCAGAATGAGGAAAAGACATTTGAAATTCCTTGAACAAATAATGTAGAAGGAGGGCCTGGGAAACTTAAGCCTCACATGCAATACTGATAAGCACACACACACACACACACACAGAGGGGATGGAGAAGGATAGAGAGAGTGGGGGAGAGATGGGGTGGGGAAGGTAGCGAGCCACATCTGTGTGCGAATAGAAGTCAGAAGGGTGCGAGATCTTAGTATAACTGCTAAGTGACACACGAGATAGAGCTTGTGGAGAGTCATGATCGCCTATCTTCTGAAGGAATGTGGCGCATTGAAGAAGTAGAAGAAGAGGAAAAAAGAGAAAGAAACAGAAAAAGAAAAGGAAGTAGAAGTAGAGGAAAAGAAGAATTAAAAGACGTAGAAGAAGAAGAAAAAGAAGAAGGAGAAAAAGAAGAAAAAGAAGAAGGAGAAAAAAAAGAACGAATCAGAAGAAAAGAAGAGGATGAAAAGAAGTAGAAAAAAGAAGAAAAAGAAGTAGAAGAAAAGAAGAAGTAAAAGACGTAGAAGAAAAAGAAGACAAAAAGAAAAAAGAAGAAGAAAAAGAGAATAAGAAGAAAAGAAGAAAGAAGCAGAAGAAAAGAAGAAGATGAAAAGAAGAAAAAGGAAAAAAAGAAGAAAAAAGAAGAAAAAGAATGGAGGTAAAAGACGTACAAGAAGAAAAAGAAGAAGAAGAAGAGAAGAAGAAAAAGAGGAAAGACGAGGAAGAAAAGAAGAAGATGAAAAGAAGAAGGAAAACAAATAGAAGAAGAAAAAAGAAGAAAAAGAAGCAGAAGTAGAAGAAAAGATGTAAAAGACATAGGAGAGGTAGAAGAAAAAGATGTAGAAGAAGAAAAGAAGAAGAAAAAAGAAAAAGAAGAAAAAGAGGGAGAAGAAAAGAAGAAGTAAAAGACGTAGAAGAAGAAAAAAAAAGAAAAAGAAGAAAAAAAGAAAGAATCAGATGAAAAGAAGAAGAAGAAAAAAGAAGAAAAACGTATCCAAATGTAAATAAATGACGTCGCACCTTATGAAATAGACAATGTCTTAAAATAATTGTCGGACTTTGTGCGTTTAATAATGTGTGACGTCATTTGTTTAAATTTGGTTACGCTTTGATCAGACATGAATGTACGTGAGAGATTTATGGAAACAGTAAAATCGACCTTGCTAACCGAAACGCTCCTCTGTGGCCAAATTGGTTAAACGCACGTTAGGCTATATGACGGTACCGTACACGATACAGATTCGATTCCTGTGGAAGGACGAATATTTTCTATGAGAATTTCTCCGACATTCAGGACGGTAAATGTTGTTTAATACTGTTTATTATAAAGAGAGCATTTTCTTAAATATTTGTATCTATAAAAGAAAGTATAAACATAAAAATGTCTTAAAATAATATATATATATATATATATATATATATATATATATATATATATATATATTTGAACAACAATATATATATATAGCATAATATATTTTGGAAGCAATACTTCATTTAAGCCTGTTGTATTAATTAGGGCAGACATGTAATGACTGTTTAGCCCATTTCTGTTGTCGAATCAGACATTTGATATCAGGTGGGAAATTTTCTAAAGGAAATTATGTGTTATTGGAATTTTACACAAACACGCACACACACACACACACACACACACACACACACACACATATATATATATATATATACATATAATATATACATATATATATATATATATATATATATATATATATATATATATATATATATATAATGCCAAAAGTCTTCATATAAGCTTTGAAGAATATAAAGTAATGTTCTTATTGTAGGAAATTTACTACAGTCGGAGATAAAAATATTTACAATTTAATAACAGATATTTACGTTAAAGTCTCATTGGGAAGATAAAAAGCCAACAGAAATTTGAAAGAGGATGAAAATGCGACTAAAATGATCTTAGAAGCCATTATCAGTCTTTCTCTATCTCTCTTTCCCCCCCAATTCATTCATTCACTGTGTGTGTGTGAAGAAGGAAAAAAAGAAAGAAAAAAATGTAAAGGGAATTTCTATTTTGTGTAATAATATTTTACCCACCGTATTGGCGGTGAAATAAAAGACTTAAAGGAAATTTAAATACAAAAAACAGGGAAAATCTAATTCTTTTCTGTTCAGACGCAGTGAACTTGGCAGTTCGATAACGGTGGCTTATATTCTGGTCTCAACATCTCACCGCAACTCTTGCAGTCTGAAACTTTTTGAATATACACACTTGGAATACATTTGAGATTGTCTCACACATCCTACTCCCAATATATATATATATATATATATATCCACACACACTCCCAATATATATTATGAAATGGACAAAGTCCGACAATTATTTAAAAACATTTTTATACGTTCTTTTTATAGATACAAATATTTAAGTAAATGCTCTGTTTATAATAAACAGTATTAAATAACATTTACCGACCGAAAATATTCGTCCTCCGACAGGATTCGAACCTGTATCCTATACGGAACCGTTATTTAGCTTGACGTGCCTTTAACCGATTTGGCCACAGAGAAGCGTTCGGTCACCAAGGTCGATTTTACTCTATTGTCGGACTTTGTCCATTTCATAATGTGTGACGTCATTTGTTTACATTTGATACGCCATGAGCAGATATGAATTTATGTGAGAGATTCATAGAAGATTGAAGTTCAAATTGTTGATTACGCTCTTTCTCAGAAACTGTATCTAAGATCTGCTCAGCATATTTGTAATATAAACCACATGTTGGCTCTGTGGGTGTTGAATAAACACAAATGCGCTTGAGCAAATGTTTGGAATAGGGATTGTCTAGCCCCCCTAGTAGAAGGTTATCCTCGAATACGATTGTCGACAAATCTTACCGCGTCTTTTTTCTTGTCTTCTTTTAATAAGCAAAATGTTAGGAATTAACATTTTCTATTCTTTATGTATTATTTCACAATCGTGTTATACTAAATATTTTTGTTATTTGTTAACGGAGAGTTGCTTGATTCTTTACTTTGTTGCCCACCCCCCTAGCAAGTCATACCGACTCTCCTGACCATCAGGATAAGTTTCAGGTGAATTATCTCCCTTCTGTAGATCTTTCAAACACAACGTGGGTGCAAAAGGAGTTAATAGAACAACTAGCCTTAGACGTATGTGGTAATCCCGGAACGAAGAGCACACTCAGTCCCATGAGTGACATAGGACTACACCTAGGCCTTGTGTCCAGACACGTCAGGCGCAAAAAAAAAAAAAAAAAAATGTTGTAACCGCCTGGCGAATTATGTCATCTCCCTTCTGTGAAACTTTCAAATACAGCATGGATGCAAAAGGAATTGATAAAACAACTAGCCGTATATGTATGTTGTATTCACGGAACTAAAACCACCCCACGTGCCGTGACTAGCATAGGACTATGTATATAAATGATCATCAAGCGATAAAAAATGGTTATTAACTTGTGTTAACTGCATTTATTACCATCCTCTGCAAAATGGATAGCACCCCATATGAAAGGTGAGGAAGATTTAAACGTCTATATTTAGTTGTGGGTGTCGAGAATTTTAAAGTTTCCTTTAATGTTCAATATTCAGTGGAATGAATAATCTGGCATTCAGTGTGTTTATGTTGGAATGCTTCGTGTCAAATATCATTGTGAGTTGACGGATCTTGAAATTTAAAGCGACTGCCATTTTTCATTTCAATAAGTTATGTTTTAGAGGACTGACAACTTATTTGTGTCATATGAGTGGATCAGTGTTTTTTGTTGACGGAATCAAACATGCCGCCATGCACACACAGCATCATAAAGACTTTTTTTTTAATTTCAAAATTAACATCACGGCCACTTGATATCACAAAAGCGAGGAAAGCTTCAAATTCTAAATAATTTCAAAGATGTAGACCATTACCTAACGGAATTCGAATTTAATTTTTTTTATTCTTAACAAAAAATAACATTTAATGGACAATTTCTAAATCAATTGGTCAATATATACATATATATACACACACACACACATACACACACACACACACACACACACACACACACACACACACACACACACACACACACACACACATATATATATATATATATATATGATGAAAATATAGTCTTAAGGTGTGATATATTTATGGGATAAAGTGCTCAATATCAGAGATATTTCGTAAATAAAATATAAAAGTGAACATAGAAGTCAACACTCTGGGGCGACAGTCTGTTTCATGCTATATGCAATCGACAGGCCTGACGATTGCATATAGCAGGAAACAACTGTTGACTTAGTATGTTCACATTTATATATATATATATATATATATATATATATATATATATATATATATATTTAAATACAAATATGAAAGTGGATCGTCCTAGATATGACTATAAACTACATCCGGCAGCAAGGCCTCTGATCAGGAGCTTTTGAGGATTGGGCAACCAGCTCTTAATTGTTTGTGTTCCCAGGTCCACCCTGACCGGGGGGGGGCACCTGTTAGGGTCTCCGCTATTGGCAAACAAATAGTTGACACCCCAACTGATGTCAACAAACTATGAAAGTATAAAAATAGATTTTTTACTAAAAATACCAGCAATACATTTTTTTCATATTACCAACAATACATTTTATTTTTATTATTTTTTTTAACAGTGATATATTTGGTTCTTGGTTAAACTCCTCTTTACAAAAATAAGTCAATGAAACCTTATCAACAAAATGATTTCTTACAAAGAATATATATCCTGTTAATACGAAACTACCATAGACATTTTTATAGGCCTTAAATAACACATTGAGGTTCATATGATGTAAATCAAACTAAAACTAAATATATAAAAGTGGATATTGAACTCAACAGCAAGTGGCGATCGTCTGTTTCATGCATGTATATACACTTTTATATTTGCATACGCTCTATCCGTAATATTAAAACCTTTCACCCTGTCAGTCAGTTATGTACCATGCGTGATACACGCTTAGGCGAGCATGTATCTTTCGATACATGACTGACGAGGCAGATTTTTCTTTTCCGCAGAAGGTGGTCATTTCTTTCTGCAGTAGACCACTTGCCATCTAATGCTATAAAATAAATTAAATATCGATTCCAATGTAATAAATTATAACCATGGAATGTTTTTATTATATATATATATATATATGTAAGCAAATGTAAATGGATATAGATCCGACAGAATGAAGAAAAATTTGGAAAAAACAAACAAAAATCCTTAAATGCAATTATGTTGTTTAAAATGAATGAAATGTCGACGTCTGACGTTTCGGTTTGAACTGAATTGTATTTTAATGAATATTGTCTTGAAAAAGGTTTATTAAACCGAAACGTCAGACGTCGACATCTCATTCATTTTAAACAACATAATTGCATTTAAGGATTTTTTGTTTTTTTTCCAAATTTTTTCTTCATATATATATATATATATATATATATATATATATATATATATATGTGTGTGTGTGTGTGTGTGTGTGTGCAAAAATTAGAATAACGTTCAATACTTAAAAAAAGCCGACTCACAGATTCGTAATACAGGGTGTGTCAAAAATACCCCCGTATTTTAAATGTAGACAAAAAAGACATGGTAACCGCTATTAAAAAAATATTCCATTGCTCTTTAAACGAAGGATAACAGTTTTTAGTCATTTCGTTTTAAAAATGTCATCCTCCAAGTTGCGGCTTCTATTCGCCATAAACTGTTGTAGAGAATTTATAAAGCCTGAACATTTTCTCTTGGAATTCTTCAAGGTGGATTTCTTTTAAGCGTTGAACCTGTGAACTTAAAATGTTCAAATCCATAGCAGTGTTGATTTTATCGCCGGAACAGCAACAATCTGACTTAACGTGTAACTAGCACGAATAGCTCATTGTGTTGTAATTACAGATTCACAAGTCGTACAAAATGTTTTAACAGAAAACGCACCATTGCCTAAATTCACTAGCACAACAAATATGAAAATTTAAAATCTGGCAGGTATTTCGGCCGCACCGCTTTTTTCAATCATTCATCGGGTCTTTCGAGCTGAATTGAGCACTTCATTAAAGGAAGGCCTCTTAAATTTGATAGACGTTAAATACTGGGTGTCCATAAAGTTCGTATGCACTTTAAAATTTTTTTAACTTTATTTGCATTTGCGATAGAAATAATTTATAAAAAGGATTAGAAAGAAGTAAATCTATATTTTTTAAGGCTTTATTGAAATTTTATTTAAGTTTCCACATGTCCTCCATCATTAGCAATACAAAGGGTAATACCATTGTCAGCTCACGGAGAACATTTGCCAACTGATTTACAGTAATGCCTGAAATCACATTAGTTATTTTAACTATACTTAAAACTAGTTACATTAAACTTTATAACATTTTTTACAGATTATTTCTATCGCAAATACAAATAAAGTTATAAATTTTTTAAAGTTCACACGATCTTTATGGGCAGCCTGTATATCTGAAGAAAGGCAGCCATAGACAATAGGAAACACAACCGTGATGACGTTAAGTCTACACCATTATTTATCGAAGTTCTTCAGATTCTCACAACTTTTATTTTCATAATTTCCACCAATTTTATTTAAGGAGGCGAGAAAAATACCTGCTTCGTCCGCTATTTCAAATACCAGGTTCTCAAATCTGAATTCGAAACATATGCGTTTATTATTAATAATCTAGAACAGATTGTCACCAGACATGTCAGAATTTATCATTGTTATTTTTAGTCAGACAAACAAACAAAAAGGGTAATATTTGTGACAGAAAAGAAGTAAAAGACGTTGCTCAATAATTCATTTAATCGAAGACTATTCTCTAACCTATTTGATTTGAATAAAAAAGACAGACTCACTAACGTGGGCGTGGAAATCTAATAGTCTTAGACTGGCTTTGACTAAGTGTTGGATATAACTCACAACGGTATAAAATCAGCAGAAGGTCACAAGAATTTAAAGCGTCGACACGGATTCCTTAAAAAGTCTAGGCCGCATGTGGCGGAATGTTAAGCCAACGTGTGGGAATACTTTTTTCTGAATTGATGCTACTACGTCTATCCCTATCGTATAATGAAATTAATAAAAAAATAAATCAGCTTTCGTTGATACAGTCTATTAAGTGGGGTTTGGGTAGGAGGGTCTAAAACTAGTGACAACGAGTAACGCAACATCTTCTACATACAGCATTTGCTGTCACTTGAATGTTGCTGAACGTGCTGGATGTTGTACCGATTGCAGCCATTGCAGGTTTTGAATTCAGAAATTGTCTTTCTTTAAGACAACCAAAGCTAAATAGTCCATTATTAAGTCCTTTCTCACTTATCCTACTTTCTGGGAGGATAATCGCTCAGGCTTTTGGCCACATCATGTTGAGTGTTTTTCTTTTCGTACGTTCACCAAGTTAAGCAACGTCAAGCCTGGTCAGTAGTGTGAGAAATACCAAGTGCTATAAGGTAGGATGTGTAGGTAGTACAATGGATGCTGGTATGGAATTATTAATCGGAGAGCCGATTTTTCAATTCCCATTTACCTTCGTATATCTTGGATTTACGCTAGTTTAAATACCATTATTTAAAGTCGTCGAATCCATGAGCTTCTTCCCCCCAGCCTCAGAATCGTCCTTTGCCATATCACGTTGAAATAAAAAATTCCTCCTCCCAAGCATGATTGTTAATATAGACCAACACGCGGATATACTCTATTTCCGTTTTTGTTGTCACTTGATCTCCAAATATATCTTAGGTTAAAGTGGGTGTCGTTTAGAAGAGCAAACTTCCCTTTCTACGTGGGTGCCCATAGTATCATATATTTTGATAGCGAGAACATCTCTTTTACATTTTCTGTAGTATGCTATAACATTTTCTATATGTTTAGATTTCTGTATTGCTCGATTCTGATGTCTCAAATTAATCACTCGCATGTCAGTTTGTTCTCATTGCTAACAAGGGCATCCTCTGTATTCATATAAGTCCTTGGTAGAATTATATCTCTCCCTAATATTGTACTTATTTAAACTATTGTCATTGTCCAAACTGCTATCCCCACTTTCATAAGGATTGACCAAAAGAGTTGAAAGGTCAATATCTGGCGACAGCAGAGGCTACAAACAACTTAGAGAGTTGAGTTAAAGGTAGATAGCTGAGACATACAGAAGAGGCATGGTACGTGGAACTAGAATGATGGACGAAATAACGTCTTCAGTCCGAAAATCTAATCACCTGAACAAGGCCGGAGTATACAAGGGTCGAAATGTCGTGAAACAGTCAGAAAAATCTGTGAGAAAATTATCCCCTATTCATTGCTATATAGAAGGATTGATGTTACATAGCACCCTTTTCTTTATTTTTAAACGAAATTTTCCTGTTTCTAAATACTCTGGAAAATAATTTACCAGCGATGACCTCTCCCAAACCTGTAGGCGTGAAAGCATTGTTGTTCGTTACGAGGGAGATTTGACTGAATATTCTCTCACTAGGTTAAAATGTCTTTGTGATTTGGGCTTAAAATACGCCTTGTTAGTATATGAAGCAAATACTATTGTGTTGTAGCAAGTCTACGGACGATAATGGGTATGTCCCCATTCCCATAAATACAGTAGTAAATACTGTATGTTGGTATGCAGTTGGAGATTCGTCGCCAGCGGTGCTGGTCAAACTCTCAGCCTCTGGGCAGAGAGCATCACCAAACGAGGCTATGTCGAAGGTCAGAGTCTCGTCTCGGTAAACAGCTACGGGGAATTTTTGGCTGAGCCTGCGGGGTCCGATACCCCACATTAAATTAGGCCTTGAGTCATATTTGTCTGCGTGGTTCGGTTGGGAGATATTCTGCAGTTGGCGATTCATTTGACTCAATTCTAGCAATTGACGACTACTTCTACACCCCGTTGGCAAATCATATATGTGTTGTTCTTGTAATAAGTATTATCATTCATTATCAAACTTCGTGTGATTATTCTTTTCAGTCACCTTCCTTAGGTTACAATATTTCGACGACGAGGATGAAATAAAATTACATTTTGGCGACGAGGACAGGCCAAAATTACAACATATTGTTAACCATTCATCTGTTCTGCTTTATCGCGAAGAGCATCTTTTTCGCAAGTTTACCAATTGTTAGCTCGACATTCTGCGTATCTTTCCGGGTTTTTTTCGAAGATAGAGCTAGACCCATTTCCGTCGAAAATTACCGGAATTTTCTACAATATATTTATTATATATATATCTTATAGGTTAAAAGTTTTGGAATTGGCGCTTGAAAAATAACTATTAATAAATGTAAATCTGTCTTTACGTTTTTGTTTCCGTTTTGTATTTCTTTCTTTCTCTTGTTCAATTAAACGATTCTTATTGGCTGTAAAATATTTAATTTACTTGGAAGATAAGCAATTATATACCAATAACAGTAGTAAAATGAGCAGAATATTCGAAGTATATTTTTTGCAATTCGAAAGAATTTAAAAGAAACAAAAGCAATTCATAATATCAATTTAAAATATTCTTACGAGAAATCTGAATTACGTTTTCCTCCGCCATAATTACGAAAGTTTCGTGTTATTAACTGTCTTGCTTTTCCTCTCGATTTATCTGAAATTGTATACTGAACATATATATGTTTGATGTTCTTCATTGAATATTATCCATTATTTATCTACTTCAGGATGTTTCCTATTATTCGTTCCCGTAACAAATTACTGTTAGCAAATCTCTGCTCAAGAAATCTGAAGAAAATTTTGAGTTGTTCAAACAACGACAAAGCCAATATGTGGCTGCCCAAGCATCTAAACACTTTTAGATTCTGAATAGTCTTTCCAAAGTTTATCATCTAGCTTTATCAATAGTTTGAACAAGGTCAGCACTCTCTAACTCTCGGTCATGCTGACGCCATACTTCGGGTTAGCACAACTGTTGAAGGATTTAGAACACTTTCTTCTACCCAATTTCATGGTCAAACTTCCAATTAGTCAACCCCTGCTCAAAATATCGAATAACCATAGAACTCAGCTCTGATTAATGCTGTAAGTATATCTCTTTTAGACCATACCGTCAATTTCAAAGGAAATAGCATAATGAAGACGAGGTCAACAGTTCAAACAATTTCAATATGCTCAATCACTAGAACAGGTGAATTTAGTATGCACAGTCTCAGACAAGCTTGTTGAGTACTATTGGCGAGAGGCTTGATATCACTTCCAAAGTTTCAGAAAGTCAATCCGATGAATACACATTTCTGTTTATTGAAAGAGT